CAATTCAGCTTTGCAATACACTTAATTTCCACAGTCACTTTAACTTAAACACACGCTATAATTCTCAACGAACGATTCACGCACTTTACTTACTACTGCGCTTGACTCAATTGTCCGTCTGTATCTTCAATCTCTTTGTCTGCTATTCCCGTTCGGATTGATTGTCGGGCTTATATATTAGAATACAGCACATCTAGCAAACACTCGAGTATTCATGAACCCTCGAGATACTTATTACGTGTTATCAGAGTTACGTGATTTCTGCTGACGTAACAATACTAAGTCTCACATTGCGTGTTAATTTCTCAACTAGAGTTATCGCAATTACATAGTAAATGGTTATAACCATAAAATGTATCATTTACCATAAAATTTACTTAACTAATTTTTGAAAAAAAAACATTTTATATATTCTATGTTGAGAAATTTGTAAAAGTCGGAAGAAAAAAAGCCAGAAATTTATCTTTATAATTACCTGTATTCTGTCATTTTCATCATCTGAACTCTTCAAATTTTTGATATCATCTTCTGTCACTTTAATGTACTGCCTGAAAAACAACACTGAATTTAGTTAGAGAATCACATTTGGTAGTTCAAAGCATCAACGAATAAGAAAAACGGGAATGGGATGGAAATACCTCTATATGTATTATTCAATTTATTGAGATTGTTTAGATTGTTAACATATAAACGTAGCTGAGAGGACAAAAAAAAAAAATTATGTTACTTTAAGGTTGTTAATTATCCATTCACGTTTATCACACATTTAAGCTATTTGTCTTTTCTACTTTACAAATTCAATTTGATATTTAGGTTCTGAGTAAATCGTGATATAAATTTCCAAAATAGATATAGTACAGATGTTGAAAAACAAACAGAAAAACTCGACATTACTTTCAGAGTACATTAACTAACCAATTCTAAATTTTATATGCAAGTACAATGTATATGCGTGTACTACTGCAACATAATTAACTTTTAATGTTACAAAAAGTAACGTTTAAGATCCAGATAACGTCTCATTTTCAAAGTAGCTTAATAAGAAATACTTATCTGATTCAACATAATTTAAATTTTCTTAAAAAAAATCAACTCCTAATGGTACTAACTTAGCCTAACATTTAAAACCCCTTTACTATCCCTCTCTCATATACTTGTGAATATATTTTAAACGCAAAGCCACCGTATGGAATAGAACCACAGATTTTAGCGTTGTAAATCCAGAAACTTATCGCTGACCCGTCGGAGGTTCTGAGTGAATTTAAGCTGTGCATAAGAAAAATAATATGCAAGATTGTACAGATAGTGAGTCGTATTTCCAAGTAATTAATTTGTTTGTTTGTAGTTAAGCACAAAATGGGCTACCTTTTCACTACCCACCACGGATATCGAAACCCGGTTTCTAGCGTCGTAAGTCCGCAGACATGCTGCTGCGCCATTGGGGGGGGGGGGGGAAGGCTCAAGTAAATAAACTACCTTCTCTGTCAGTATAAGTGAAAACTTCTTTATTATCGGATAAATACTTGTACCGTTACAACCTTACATCAGATTTACTTGGCGTCATCAGGTTTATCAACAACAAATAATACTCTGATTATCCGAAAATAAACGAGTTTTTTTTTTTAAAGTATTTTCAAGTTCCGGAAATTATTTGTTGTTAAGTGCAAAGTTACGTAATAGGTTATCTGTGCTGTTTCCAACACGGTATCGGAAGTCGAAACCCGATTTATTTAATTTAATAGCCCTGATACTTATTGTTGAGCTACTTGGGGGCAGATGCTGGAAGTATGCAGCTAAATGTCTAAAAAATAATTATTATATTAATAACTATGGCAAAGAAGACTTCCGATTTCAATTTTTTGTTTATTATTAAAGAATTATATATCACACTGTTTATTTAATCTATAAAGCTCGAAAGAAACAGTTTGCGTTTCGTACAGGATAATTTCTCGAAATTGTTCAAAACAACTTAGCGAATCTATTTTGAGAACATAATGTCATCCATTTCCGGTGAACATCGTGCATCAGTGAGCGAGATTGGACAATCGTTCTGACGTCTCATTGGGGTATGTGACAACCGAAATACAATTATTTTATGTGCAGTTTCCATACTGCATGATGTCTTCCCGCTAAAACATCCTTGTAATACTAAACTGTTTTCAAGTGTTTATGTAGTTGTCAAGAAACAAAACAATTAGAAAACACAATGAAAGATTTCATAGGGATAGTTTCTAATGGAAAAATTACCCAATACTGAATTATTACGAACATTCAATTTCAGATAACGAACATCATTATAGGCTACAACAAGACTATCTGGTTTTAGTAAGATGTAGAAGGCCCGTACGCAGGATGTTTATTTTAAAAGAGGGGTTCTAATTTGTGAGATCAAAAACTAACACATATTATGTGAAGCACAATCAGTATGTAAAGTATACTAATGCTACGTGGGTCTAGGGGTATACGACTATTTAAAGCCAAAAAATGCAAATACTTCATCGGAATAATGTAGATTATGTAGAAAACGTTAAAGACCATAAGCAGCTGTCCTACAACTGTATAGGCATATTTTTTTTACATCATAAAATTCAAGGGTTCGGCTGAGTCCCCTCGAACCCCTCCCCCTGCGTACGTGTGTGAGTAGCATCATTAATAGTGTTACGACAGCCGAAGTCACGTGACGCTGGGAGCATGCGCACTGGAGTTTCTAGAATTATCGGGGAACCTCGAGAATGTACGAGTGTTTGCTAGACGCCCTCTTTTTAGTATATAAGCCTGGCGAGAAAACCAGCGCGA